AGGGAAGTCATGATGAGGATGCGTTGTGTTCGGGGACGAAAGTGAGACCCAAATAGTCATAAGCGGTGTGACAGAGAGGAGGTGGAGCGTGGTTGGGTTACACACCGCGTCGCGGTGCAAAATCCGTGCGTGGGAATGGGGAGTGGGGTGAAGTCCTCACCTTGGGTCACCTTGCAGCTTCCCACTTCACATTCACACCACAGCAGCCCACTTAACCTATTTTTGGTTAGGCGTTTGCACACGTGGCTTCTTGTAATCCGTTGGTTCTGTTCGATTCTCGGATTGGACATGCATACGTGGTGTGCCTGTTCGGAGGAACAACTTTCGGCATGCACACGTGGCTTCTTGTAATCGCATGCATAAATCACGTGCACACAATTCACTGAAAAAGGAATCTGCATGCACACGTGGCTTCTTGTAATCCGTTGGTTCTGTTCGATTCTCGGATTGGACATGCATACGTGGTGTGCCTGTTCGGAGGAACAACTTTCGGCATGCACACGTGGCTTCTTGTAATCGCATGCATAAATCACGTGCACACAATTGACTGAAAAAGGAATTCTGCATGCACACGTGGCTTCCTGTAATCGTGCATAAATCACGTGCACACAATTCACTGAAAAAGGAATTCTGCATGCGCACGTGGCATCTTGTAATCGCTTGCACAGAGCGCGGGAAGCAGTGTTTCACCGATGCGCCCATTTCCCCTAAAACAAGGAAAAGGAAAAGACAGAGAGCGGGAAAACGACAGACTCGAGCAGAAGGGAAAAGAGGAAGAACAAATAAATAAATAAAAAAAAGAAAAGAAAAGAAAAGGAAAGGGGACGGGCGAAAGCATGGGAGCGAAGCGGTAAGAAGGGAGAGAGAGGCGGCGGTGCTTGTTGGATTCAGACATAGGGCCTCGCTCCACTACTCTCCCACATGCGCAGAGGACAAAAAATGTGGCAATGTACCTTCCCGTGTTCTGGCGGTAAATTCAGTCTCATTTTGTACATTTAGAGATGTAGTGGAGCGAGGCCCATACGCGATAAACAGCAAACACGTGAAGATGGAAAACGTGAGCTCCCACTAAACAAAATAAAAAACGCGAGCGCGAGGATAGAGACAGAGAAAGGACGAGAAATGAAAAAGACGCTGACCTAAGCGAATGACACGTCGCAGCAAACGACACGTGGAAAGCGCAGCGGATGACACGTGGAAAGCGAAACGAATGACACGTGGAAAGCGCAGCAAACGACACGTGGAAAGCGCAGCGAATGACACGTGGAAAGCGCAGCGAGTGACACGTGGAAAGCGCAGCGAATGACACGTTGAAAGCGCAGCGAATGACACGTGGAAAGCGCAGCAAACGACAGGTGGAAAGCGCAGCAGCGAAACCAAGCCAGCTTAGTTCAGTTGGTACACGCATGAATTATTACTGAACTACAGACCCAAGATCGTATCCTGATGGACGTTGATGAATATGAATTAATGCAATGAAATATTTTAAGTAATTCCCCTGGGGCAGGTCAACCTGATGATGATATCTCAAGACTGTCGCCCTTGTAAAACGGGAATGTAATGAGGAGGAGGAGAGGGATGGAAGGAAGACAAAGAAAAACAAAAACAAAAACAAAAACAAAAACAAAAACAAAAACAAAAACAAAAAGAAAAACAAAAAAGACAAGTGGGAAAGCGCAGCAAACGACGCGTGGAGAGCGCGACATAGATATATATATCGTCACATAGAGAGAGAGAGAGAGTGCGCTGAGGACATCGACAAGAGACAGGCCGGCAATCATAAAAAATCACTAAAAAAAAATATTTATATTTAAACCTCGCATATTGTCAAAAACCACCCTACGCCGACAAACACACTAAAAAAAAAGAGAAACAAATTGTAAGTCAACCGCCCACACCTCTCGCGATGACCAAATACAACACTGTCTGCCGTAGTACCATCCCGCCCCGCGCAGAGTCGACACTTCAAAAAAACTACCGTCTTCACCCGAATATAACGCCCGGTCATTATGGTTGTGGTCGTATTTGGAGCAATTTTACGTCCAGATGCAGCGATAATGACCGACCGTTCTATTCCGGTGAAGACGGTAGCTCGACGGGGGCGAATAAACCTGCACGCCCAAAAGAGGCGGGGCGCGACGGATGTTCAGCGATTTCACTCTCTCTCTCTCTCCATCACGAGATGTTTCTACATGCCGACTCCTCACTTGTTCTCCTCTTTCTCTCTCTCTCTCTCTCTCTCTCTCTCTCTCTCTCTCTCTCTCGCGCGCGCGCGCGCGGGCGCATTTGGCGAAAATTTTAGACGCTCGACATTTGGTGTCTAAAAGAAAAATCAGGGGAAGAAAAGAGGGGGGGGAAAAAAACGAGGTCGCAAGGATGGAAGAGGAAGACTGAGAGAGCGAGAGCAAAAGACACCACGAAGAGAGCGAGGAGTAGGAGGAGAGTAAAAAAAAGAGAAGACAATCTACTTAGTCAAAGTGATACACGACAAACCATTCTCCATCACGTCAGCTGCTTAACGAACCTGTAATCCGTTGCAGGTTTACCTATCACGTCCGATCCCACTCGTTTCCAACCAATCAGTGGACAACCTACACGCGGCCTACCTATATGTATATATATTGTCATATATATTGTCATATATATTGTCATATATATCGTCACAAATAGAACTGCCCGGTAAACCGTAGGCAGAGAGAGAGAAGAGGACAACAAACGAGGGGCTGTGACAAACTGTTTCGTCGGAGTTATGGCCTAACTATGTATATATCTTAAAACAAAAAGAAAGTACAGATTAAAATACAATATACACAACATAATTCATGTCTTTGCTATGGGACGTACACGTGGCAGAAGGTCGAACTCGATGGGTATGCCATTTCACGTAACAGCGCTCCTTAGGCTARTTAACTTCTTACCTAATGTTTGCCATTGGCTCGCCATTCCCGAACTGGAGCAATCATCATCCAATAATGACACATTACGCAACATAATTCACTTCTTA